CCCCCCCCCCCGAGTGGGGGTCATGGGCGATTTGACGGATGCACCGGGTCGAATGTTCTTCATCGCGTTTATTTTCGCCGCGTCACTCGTCGCGATGCAACACTTAGGAACGTGTAAAACCGCGAACGACCGCAGCCGTTGACAATACATTAATTATAAAAAAAAAAAAAAAAAAAAATTAGCGAAAAATCGCGACAAAAAACACACTCAACAGCGACACGAGATTAAGATTCTGATTATTTGCATTAATAATTATAAACAATTGTACATAATAAAAATAAAAAAAATCGTCGTATAACCGAGTAATCGAAAAAAAAAAAAATATAAAAAAAAAACCAACTAGTCAAGCCCGTTTTGTATATTTATTATTTTTTATTATTATTTTTTTTTTTTTTTACTCGAATATAATACGACGCGTGTATGTAAATAGTTATAAAAAAGAAAACTACTCGACGAATATATTACAATATTATTATTATCATTATTATTGTTATATTTTTTACGTATTGTACAGCTACACAATGTTTTAACGGCGTTTTATCGGAATCTGTAAATTTATTTACCTTTTTTTTTTTTTTTCTACTACTATTATTATTATTACTATTAGATTGTGATATATTTTAAGGTATTGTACATTAGTAACGATAATTATTATCATTATTATCATTATTATTATTGTAATTATAACGTGACACTTTTGTATAGTTGTACACGCAGCTGTCGTCTATTAGATAATATTATTATTATTATTATTATTATTATTATTATTATTATTATTATTATATACGTACCGTTAACAATGATTATTGTAATTTATATTATTATTTTTTACGGGATCCGTATTTATTCGTTTTTTTTTAATTTTTTTTTTTTTTTTTCTTATAATAATACGTACGAAAACGCGCGCTCTCGGGGTTTTTCGTTTTCATACGTATACATATATATATATACATACATATTATAACGGTATTCGCGTAAATTTTGAACATATCATTCGACCGTTTCGCGAACGGAAAAAACGACGCGTTCGAGACACCGAAAAACGAAAAACACACACCGTCTAACTAGTTTAATGGCATCGATCGCGTTACCGCTATCAGGTTTATCGTTCGCGCCGAACCGTAACATACAGTCGATAATTGCGAAGCCGTTACGAAGCAATACGCGCGGTTATCATAATATAATATCGCGCACCCCCCCCCCAACCCCCCCGGTTCGTGTTTTACGCGCGGCGGTAGCCGTACGACGTCACGACAATATTATGAAAAAGTATTACCTCCCCAACCCACCTACTCCGGAAAACTATTTAATTTTTGTTATTATTATTGTAATCTAAGCCGAAAAATATTATTATTATTACTATTAAACATTATATTGTGTACAGCTCTAATAAAATGTAATATTATGTATGATTATTTACGCGCGCAGCTATATGCTGCCGGACAAATCTATATCAAAAAAATATGCCCATAAAAAAAAAAAAAAAAAATTGTTAACTCTAATGTTTTATTATTATTTTGTAAATATTTCAAATATAATATAAATCGTTTATAAATATTTTAAACCGCTGCAGTTGTTTTCGAGAGTGAAACTCTCTGAAATCATCCCGTTGAAGAGCAGCATTTTATTATAATTGTTTTCTTCTGCAAAAACGTATAAGTGTTCTATTTATATTAATTTTTGACGGTGCCGCCATCTACCGGATACCTTAAACTACATTAAACATGCTTGTGAAGGCGACAATAAATATACGCAAGAGTAGGACATTTTTTTTGAAAAAGTGGTAACATTTTTTTATACCGTCATACTTCGGAAGACTAAATAGGTATTATAAAAGGAGGAGGACAGCATGGGTGGCATGTTTCAAAAGATGACAATTACTTTTCACATTAAGGTGTAATATGCTGTATTTACTTTTTTATAAATTGAAATAAAACAATTTTACGGCGTTCCAAATGAGAATAATAAAAAAAAAAGAATGTTATTTTTATTGCTGATAAAAAATCATGAAGTTGATAAAACTGAATTATTATATTCAGACACATAATGCCCGTAAATGCAAACGAAAATTCTCCTTTAAGCAATTTTAAACTTTAAAAATTCACTAAATTGTTATCTTTTGTAAATATTAATTTATTTTAGATAATTTTTCTCGGATTTCATACAATAATTTGAAATATTTACATTTTTATTCGGTGGCCATCGTTTTTTACAATAATTTAACCATTTTACTACAGCAATAATATTATGTAGAAATTTCAGCCTCTTTTCAAAAATGAATTTGGCCTCTTTCGTATCCCTTGAATGTATCGTATATTTCTGTTATCTATTTTGCACTGATTAAACATTTTTATCGAAAACAAATCGACCTGCACAAGTGGAATGCGAAAATTCTAACTTGGAGTTGCATTTCTGCGGCTATTCAATTTGTTTCTTGAATAACAACGAAATCAATTGTGCGCAAACTCGCGAATTTTTTAATATCTATACGCCTGTGGTCCGTTGTATTTAAAAAGACTACCGGTCGTTTGCACAGAAATGCACGGGACAGTTTAAAAAATAAACAAATGAAAACTACCGTTTTTCGCGAAGCGCAAACTATCTCCCTGAGAAAATGGCGAAAGTTCCGATTTTTCGGAAAAAGTCGACCCATTACAGGTTGTAAGAACATCTACCCTGTAATAGCCGTTTGAATGTCGTTACGTTATCGCACGACGGAAAACCGAAAATAATAAAAATGTATTGATTTTTATTTATTTTTTTTTTCTCATCTATAAAATATATAATATAATCATCAAATTCGTTTAGCGAAAACAATTTTACAGTTGAGCTTAACTCTATGGCCAAATACGTACATAAAACAGCTCTAAATCTAAATCGATCGACAGGCCCAGATAAACGCGGTGTACACAATTTTCACGGTTTAAATATATTAATAATACGACATGATAACTATTTATACGTGTATATGTAAAACAAAAAAAAAAACAAAAAAATGTATAACAATAGGTACCTAGCTAAATGTAAAATTAATAACTAAACATAAAAAGATAGAATAATAATAATAATAATTACGCTACGATGTAAAACTAATAATTCAAAATAACTGTAACGCGTAGAACGATTAATGTATATTATCACAACCACGATAAGAGTACGGCGGTTGGGCCGTACGTCGAGACGTTAAGAAATCGAGACGAATTGTTTGGAACACACTTCGAGGAGTCCGTGAAACGAACGAAAACCGTTTAGTTATTTCGTAACACTGTGCACCGGACGAATGGTTTTGAAAAATAATTCGTTAATGAAATTTCGTCTCGTACGTCATCGACAAGAATATCGTTGGGGAAATGTTGTGACGTAATTGTGTAACACAAATTCATATTGCGCAAGTCGAGTTTTTTTTTTGTAAACGTTTTCACGTTGTGCCGCGTAGAGAAGAAGACACTTGACCGATTGTCGGAAACGTCGAAACGTCGTTGTTCCGCTCGATCCCCGCCGGACTGCGCGTCGGTCGCACGGCAATTCGGTCGTGACCATTGCGGAACAATTTTCTTTTCATCAATCGTCCGACCTCTGTTGGATGTGCAGGATAACCGGCACCGTCCTGGTCTTGAGGACGGGCACTATGGGCGGCTTCCTGTGGTAGAACTGCTGCCTGGCCATTGTCGGAGGGGGATGGTACACGTACCTCCAAGTCTGCGACTGCCCCATCGGCGGCGGTCGCATCACCAACAGGTTCTTCAGATCCTGTCGATTAGACAGTTTCCGGCCGTGTTTGCTCCTGTTAGACTTGACCGCCACGGCCGCCGCCTTTCTCAGCTTGTTCTGCTGCTGCTGCTGCTGCTGCTGGTGCAGTTGCTGTTGTTGAAGTTGCTGCTGCTGCTGCTGCTGCTGCTGCTGGTGCATTTGCTGTTGCTGGTGCTGTTGGGCCACCGCCGATGAAGACACGGTCATCACGTGCTTTTTGTCGCTATAATCCTTGGACAGGTCGTCGTGCTCGTGCACCTGAAACTCGAGAACCCGTGTAAAATAATAACAATCTAAAAAAACCAGTAGGAATCATTATTTTCAAAAGCTATTTAATGTATTCGATTTTCTATCATTCGATAGAAAACGGACACGAGTACTGTGAACACTTGTTCGCTTTTGGTTTCAACAGAAATGTCGTCGGTAATAATAGAGCGGTGGTGTAGCCATAGCGGTGGTTGGCCGCCTCCGTAATTTTAACTTTTTAGACGGCCCGTCCGATAGGCAACAACTGTTACGCACCGGGCCGGCGCGATCGCCAGATACTGATTTTAAGGAGTCGAGAATATCTGAACTAACCGCTACGAAAATCCAGTCTACGATACAATAACAAATGTTTTTTTTTTTTAAAATGGCGCTAAAAACGTTTACGCGATAACGCCAAATGTTTATTATACTATATTACATTACGCGATACTTTGTCTGGATAAGAATGTCAAAATGATTAAAATACTACCTTTTCGTGATCGATTACAACCAAAAGACTAGGCTCGATCAAAGACTTTAAGGTAGTTCTCTGGCCTAGGCATTACGGACAGTGTTGATACTTATCTAGATACGTTTTTAATTATCTTCTAGACAAGTCATCTAAATATGTATCTCAGACAAATGTCACTTTCCTATTATTTATTCAGACAAATTTTATAAAAATGTATAAATTACTATTATTTACTTTTTTTTAAGCATTTAGAAGTTGAAAATTTATTTAGATAAAAAACATTATACTACTTGTTACTAAATTATATACCGAATATAGAGGTGGTTTTAAGTGAGAAGGAGTTCCTCATGTAGATAGTCCGCCAAAACTATTTGCTTCACTTGGGGTAAAAAAAATTGTTTTCTACAAGTAAGTAAATTGAACTTCTTTAAAATGTAATTATTGTTTTCCATTTTTGGATCTAATTATCATGTAGATAGTGTTAATTTAATTTTTCTTTTATCTTTATATAAATAGATTTGTTTGTATTATATCTCAATATTTATTTAAACACGTTTGTATATTCGTCACTGATTACGGATTATCTAGTTTATGCATCAAGTAAATTTTTTTTTACAATTTTGAATGGACCAGCCTGGACCGTTGAATGAGAAAATAAATAAATAAATTAGAAAATTATTTCGAATCGTTATCAAATTAATATGTTTATCAGGAGTAATAGATCAAATATTTAAACTCTATTAATATTGTTTATAAATTTATAGTTACATCAATCGCATATTTTTTGTTGAAATTTAGATGTTTAGTTAACATATACGGTATGCTATAGGTATTTGATATTATAAAAGATTGTGAAAAAATAATCCGTGTTTTATACAGATAAAAAGTTCTTGACTGTTTCTCGTAATTTGGTCATACATATAACTAAATATTATTATTGGTCTTTATCTAAATAATAATTATTCGGGCAATTTTTTTCCAATCTTTATTATCAAGTTAATTTAATATGTATCGTTATAAATCGCTATACACGAATCGCGGTGATTATTTTGGTCTAGAAAACTACAAAATCGATTAATTATCAGATGGCAATCTTTTTAATCAACTCGGTCGTGCAAATATTATTTCAGTGACACTGACCGTGTGGTATTCCACATATTTGTAAAACGGGTATTGGCATGCATTTTATAATATTACTTGTACTCGTCCGGACAACTGTTGTTTTTTTTTTTTTTTGTGTTATAAATATTATCTTGCGGGCAAAAATCGATCAAACTAAAAATTCAAATCATTATCTTAATTCACAAGCCCAATAAGCTATACCATTAAATGAGCTGTATATAGTGTACGTTTTAATACAAAATACAACGTAATTTTTATATTTATAAATTATACGGCCGCGAATTTAGTTTACCCTAGCCCTCTATGACCTACACCCGGGCTCACCTGGTACTGGTGCGGTTCGTTGGACGCAGAGTTGGACGGAGACGACGAGGCGTCGTAGTCATGATGAGTGCTGTCGATGGAATTTCCGCCATCGAAATGTACGTGCACCTCTTGTGCGTCATGGTTGTGCACCGTTGTATCGTGCGGTATGCCGAAATAAGGTACAGCCTCACCCGAGTGCCCGTTGAAGTTTCCGTGGTCGTGATGCCCGTTGAAGTGGTCGTGGTGGTCGTTAAAGTTACCGTGATCGTGGTCGTGGTCGTGGTCGTGGTCATGGTCGTGGTCGTCGGCCGTGGACCCGGCCAACGGACTCTCGCCAGGGCCGGTGGGACCGGACGCCGTAGGACCGCCACCGTCACCGACGTGCACATCTGACAACGATTCGACCGAGTGTTGCAACGCTGCCGATGACAGGCCACCCTCGACTGTCGCGTGGAAGTTTTTCGGCTCCGAAAAACCTGCCGAGTGAACGACCGGTACGTAAATGTGCGGTATCAGGTGCAAGTGGATCATGTGGTTATGCTTCTTGAGTAGTCCACCGACCGCATTGCCACCAGAACCGCCACCAAAACTGCCACCACCTCCACCGAAGCTACTGCCGCCACTGAAACTGCTGCCTCCACTGAAGCTGCCTCCACCAGCGCCCCCAACGCCGTGTTCCGGTTCGCCGATCGAGTGACCGGAAGACTGTTGCAACGACCGCAAATGGTTGTCCACATTTTCACTGATTAGATTTCGATATGTCGTGTCCACCTCTTCGTGGAACGCTTCGTGTTCCGGAAACTCGGTCTTCAGGATTTGAGACGGTTTGAACAGCGGTCTCCAGGGTCCTGAGACAAAAAAAGACAAAAAATTAAAACAAATCAATTCTCTTGCGTAAGCATAGTTTTATTTTTGAAGCCAAAAATGCCTTCGGTGAGCGTCGTGGACGCGATATTCAGTGTCCATGCCATACGTGAAGATTTAATTTCTATTTTGGAGGGAATGGGGCTAGAATAAGATTGTTATGTAAAATACCTAAGGAAAGTATCCGTTAATATTAGGAGGACTTTCGATGGTTTTTCGAGGAATAAGCTTCCTCGTAATATCCACCTATGGGCTATGGCCCACACATTAATGTTCGATAAACAGTTGAAAATCTAAATCAAATAACTGAAAAACCTAATAAAAAATCAAAAAAAAAAAAATCAACCGTGATAAACAGAGATCAATAGAATCGAATTTTACCCCATCCGTTTTGTACAATAGAATACTAATATTCTTTGCAAAACAATAGAGAACAGAAAAAAAATTATACAATATTCCATACTATTACGCTAGGAATAATAACGATTGTTGTACTTTCAAAAAAAAAATAACGAAAATTGATTATAAAAAGGTAAGAGTGAGAGTTTAAAATTGAAACTCTAATTAATACCATATGCATAATATACTAAAT